TCTTCTTTTTTGTGTTCTTAAGTTTTTTCCTTTTTTACATTTTCTCCACGTTTTTCCTAAAGTCTGCCGTCATTCATATATTCACTTGGTATCTGCTCGAGTGTGCGTGCGTGTGTGTCTCTATGTTTGTGTTACATTGTAATTTTATGTATCTTCAACATCGAGAAGAGTTTGCCGAGGATTGATGTTAACATCGACTGGCAATGATGACGTATCCACCTGTTAGGTTTGTAAGCAACAGGAGACCATTTGCTCTTTCATTGTGTGGTACATACGCACACACACACATAGATTTACTTAGTAGCATTATAAAGATATAGTGGTGGTAGTAATATAGTGGAAGTAGTCCTCTCTGCAGGACAATTCGAACAAAAGTTAACATTGACGTTGAGTAAAAGCTTTGTTTGTTTCGAAATTGCCCTCCTCAAGTGGGTGGGGTGGGGTTGGTTTGCATTTGTATTATTTTTTGTAGATGTGTGGTTTAAGGAAATGGGAGAAATGGGGAGAAAAGTTAAATTTAGTGAGAGCATTGTAACTGTATGAGAGAGTAGGGGAGATATATTTAATTGAGCGAAATTATTGAGAGGAAAACATAGAATTCTCTCAATGGCTCAACGAGCTTCTGCGTAATTGAGGAAATTTATTATATTTGGGTAGGGTTGCCATTTCATAGTTTAAAAAAATAGCTCAAATGTAATCGGCGATTTTTACATGAAACATTTGGTTTGACCATTTCAAAATATAATTTTCCAAGACCATCTGAGCCATAAGCGTGGATTTTTTAAAGCATATTTTTCAAGGACCATCTGATCCATAAGCGTGGATTTTTAAAGAATATTTTTCAAGGACCATCTGAGCCATAAGCGTGGATTTTTTAAAGAATATTTTTCAAGGACCATCTGAGCCATAAGCGTGGATTTTTAAAGAATATTTTTCAAGGACCATCTGAGCCATAAGCGTGGATTTTTTAAAGAATATTTTTCAAGGACCATCTGAGCCATAAGCGTGGATTTTTTAAAGAATATTTTCAAGGAACATCTGAACCATAAGCGTGGATTTTTTAAAGAAAAATTTTCAAGGACCATCTGAGCCATTAGCGTGGATTTTTTAAAGAATATTTTTCAAGGACCATCTGAACCATAAGCGTGGATTTTTTAAAGAATATTTTTCAAGGACCATCTGAGCCATAAGCGTGGATTTTTTAAAGAATATTTTTCAAGGACTATCTGAGCCATAAGCGTGGATTTTTTAAAGAATATTTTTTCAAGGACCATCTGAGAGTTGAACGTGGGTTTTTTAAAGAATATTTTTCAAGGATCATCTGAGCCATAAGCGTGGATTTTTTAAAGAATATTTTTCAAGGACCATCTGAGCCATAAGCGTGGATTTTTAAAGAATATTTTTCAAGGACCATCTGAGCCATAAGCGTGGATTTTTTTAAAGAATATTTTTCAAGGACCATCTGAGCCATAAGCGTGGATTTTTTTAAAGAATATTTTTCAAGGACCATCTGAGCCATAAGCGTGGATTTTTTAAAGAACATTTTTCAAGGACCATCTGAGCCATAAGCGTGGATTTTTTAAAGAATATTTTTCAAGGACCATCTGAGCCATAAGCGTGGATTTTTTAAAGAATATTTTTCAAGGACCATCGGAGCCATAAGCGTGGATTTTTTAAGGAATATTTTTCAAGGACCATCGGAGCCATAAGCGTGGATTTTTTAAGGAATATTTTTCAAGGACCATCGGAGCCATAAGCGTGGATTTTTTAAGGAATATTTTCAAGGACCATCGGAGCCATAAGCGTGGATTTTTTAAGGAATATTTTTCAAGGACCATCGGAGCCATAAGCGTGGATTTTTTAAGGAATATTTTTCAAGGACCATCGGAGCCATAAGCGTGGATTTTTTAAGGAATATTTTTCAAGGACCATCGGAGCCATAAGCGTGGATTTTTTAAGGAATATTTTTCAAGGACCATCGGAGCCATAAGCGTGGATTTTTTAAGGAATATTTTTCAAGGACCATCGGAGCCATAAGCGTGGATTTTTTAAGGAATATTTTTCAAGGACCATCGGAGCCATAAGCGTGGATTTTTTAAGGAATATTTTTCAAGGACCATCGGAGCCATAAGCGTGGATTTTTTAAGGAATATTTTTCAAGGACCATCGGAGCCATAAGCGTGGATTTTTTAAGGAATATTTTTCAAGGACCATCGGAGCCATAAGCGTGGATTTTTTAAGGAATATTTTTCAAGGACCATCGGAGCCATAAGCGTGGATTTTTTAAGGAATATTTTTCAAGGACCATCTGAGCCATTGAATTTTTTTATGTATTTTTAAACACATTTTTGTGGCACCGACCTCAGCTTTAAAGTAACACAACTTGTTTGTTGTGTTTATTGTTTGATATTTTGTTGATCACTTTGCCATAATGGCAAACAATTTCATACTAAGTGATTATCCGATAAAAAACCATGTGTGATTAATATTTAAATAACATATGAATAAAAAAGCTACTTTTTAATTGAATTTGTTATGTCTTTTTTTAATGTTGACAATAAATAAAAAATCACTCGTAACGTCAAAAAAGTGTGAGTGTTTCGTGAATTTGTTTAATGTAACACTTTAGGCTGAAAATAAAAATACACGAATTAAAATAAATACTGGTCTATTAATGCTACACACAAGTGATATATTTGAATCATTTTGATAGCAATTAATTGATATTGAGATATGGTTTTGTAGATAAAAGCTCTTTAAAAGGTCTCTATATCAAGCATTTCTTTAAGAAATAGAAAATTTTCAGAGGCCTAAAATATTTTAAAGAGCCTTCTATATATAGAAAATCTTTAAATTATCTTCTTCAAATCAAACCATTTATTATGTTGAAGTTTATACCCTACACCACATAGTGGTAAGTGTATTATATCTTTGTGCATTTATTTGTAACATGAAGAAGGAAGCGAGTTAGACCCATAGTTACTTTTGAGGATGCTCATAGAATCACCTTCTGAGTCGATTTATGCATGTCAGTCCGTCCTTCCGTCTGTCTGACGGACGAACAAAATGCAGGTCGTATTTCTTATGAAATATTTGTTGGGCCCAAGGACGAACCCTATTTAAATTGGCGAGAATCGGTTCAAATTCTGATATAGCTCCCATATATATCTTCCACCAATTTCGGGTTAATTGTACACAAAATGGCCATTATCAGTCCAATCCAAATCCAGAACTCAGTCTAGTACATCAAATTTGAAAATCGGTACAGATATAGCTAGAGCTCCCATATTTATGTTTCTTCCGATTTGGTGCTAAAGTCCCTCACATGTGTAATACGCATTCCACAACAATGATATTTGATAACAGACATCAGATACAGCTCGAAAATACCTCTGCTAAAGTTTATCGAGATCGGTTTAGATTTTTATATACTTTCGATATACATCTTCATCCGGTTTTGCGGTTATTGTCCACCATACAAGATGGTGTTTAAAAATGCACGTTTTTGAATCACAGGATGGCCTTAAAAATCCGATTTTAAAAAATTGTTAAAAAATAAAAACATCTTTAAAATATCCTAGTTTAGACGTCTTTAAAACCTCTTTAAAATAGTCAAGCTTAGAGGCTTCAAAACAAGTAAAAAACTAACATTTAGAGGCCTTAGAAAATACTGTAAACAAGTCATGTGTATAGATGATAGGATGACGTAAAAACTTCTTTAAAAATCCAGGTTTATAGACCATAGGATGTAATTCAAAAGTCTCTAAAAAATACTGGTTTATAGGCAGAAAGAAGAGAGAGCGACCATCGGCTGCTATGGAGGCCCACACTATAACCATGGCCGGCGCTTGAGTTCTGGTGGACAACCGAAGGTGCACATTTTCAGTTGACCTCTTTGGCAAATAAACACGATCATTTTTTTGTTTACAAACTGCTGGACAGCGAATGTCTTCTCCTCGGAGAGAACCAAATTCGTCATTTTTCCACTTTCGGCCAAGCAAAGCAACTGTTTAGCTCTTTTGAGTCTATTTTCTTTCGGTTGCGGTGTAAGTTCTTGCACTTTTTGAAATGTCAATGGCTTAACCCCGAGGTCATTTTTCAATATTTGCCGAATGGAATATTGCGATATGTTCTACTCACGAACCATTTTTCGGCCACTTCGACGCGGGTTTCGATCAAATCGCTTCTTTACTTTTCGAACCATTTCTGCTGATGTTGATGTTTTCTTCCGCCCACTTCCTTGACGGTGGGCTACGCTACCGGTATCAGGGTAATGAGCGGTATGAGACACAAAAGATTTATTCACCTTTAAATGTTGAAGTGCTCTAACGATAGCCACTTGTGGTTTTCCAGCCAAATATAAAGAAATCACACTATCACGCTTGAATTCCATCACGAATAAGTTTTTTTCTGGAAAATTCTCACCCAAAGGCTTTTGTACGCCTGTAAACAATATAATGAGCTGTCACTGGAATAATTTTAACAGTTGTTGGACGAGAGGCTTAGAAATGCCAACAGTCTGAAGTTGGTTGCAGTTTTTTTCAACTCACCCTGTATATGCCTTCAAAAAATCCACGCTTGTATATGCCTTCAAAAATTCTTCTTCTTCTTCTCATAAAAAAATTCACCTTCAGAGCCCTTCAACAATTCTTTAAAAATCTACTTTGAGAGGCCATAGAAACCCTTTAAAAATCAAGTACTTTTAGGGTCCTCCAAAAATTCTTTAAAAAATCAACGATTATATTCCTTTAAAAGAAATTAAAAGCCAAAGGCCTCACATTAAAGGCCTCTAAATAGCCTAAAAAAGTTGTTAATCAAATTTGTATCAGTTTTTGTCCCGTTCTACATTTTCTGCTATCGATTTGACCCACTTTTCACCTTTATTTTTATTTAGTACTTCACCCAATTATTGAATGTAAACATTTCACTTTCTTTAACCAAACCAACATTGACAATTTTGCCCCAAACATGTGAATGTCAATAAATATAGCACAGCAAAAACAAAAAAATCGATAAACTACGGGTTTCAGCACCCGCATGCATTTCCGAAACTTACCGACTAATTTCCGCTTAATAATAATTTCTGCATAAAAGTGCCAGACATTGCAAATAATTTATGTACTCTTTGGTGGAAATGATTAAGAGCCGCACATTAATTACGCTTGCAAAGTTTCAGCAACGGCTGTTGCTGTTTTACGTGGCACTACAGCTGTTAATCTGGCGAAATACGTTAGTGGTTGCCGTAAATGTTGAGCGCATAAATCCGTATGAGAAAATTTCCGAAATTCAGTTAAATGGTCGTTGGTGGATGGGAGGTGGCGGGCCAAATAATCGAAGTCATTATGCCTCGGATGCGGTGCAAGAAATGTGGCTAACTCAAAAACTGGATCATTTTTTGAAAGAAGGAGGACAGACTACCAATCAGAGCAGAATTGAAGAGCAGTGGATGATGGTAATTGACCTCTTTTTGTGTTAGAAAATTAAATTGTTTTCGAAATTTTGAATTGTAGCGTTACCTTGTCAACCGTGAATTCTATGAACCGGGTGGCCCCATGTTCATAGTGGTGGGCGGTGAATGGGAAATACATCCATATCTCTTGAGTGAAGGTCATTTCTATGACATGGCCAGACAACATAATTCCATTATGTTCTATACGGAACATCGTTTCTATGGCAAGAGTTGGCCAAAGAAGTAAGGGAGGATTTGAAATTTATTCTTAGACGGAAAATTAATTAATTGTTCTTTTGTTGATTTTTTCTCCCAGTTCCGCTTCTGTGGACGCCTTGGAGTATTTAAGTGTCCGCCAATCTTTGGAGGACTTAAGATATTTTATAAAATATCAAAAATCGTCTCAAAAGGATTTAGTCAGTTCCAAGGTAGTATTGCTTGGTGCTTCCTATTCCGGCAGCATGGTGGCCTGGTTTATGAAACTCTATCCGAATGAGGCGAATGTGGCTTGGGCTTCCAGTGCCCCTCTGTTAGCAAAAATGGATTTTCATGGTAAGTTAATGATTCATTAAAACTCAGAAAACAACTTGAACTTTTGGCTGAAGGTCACTCTTGGTCCAAATGTGTCAGATAAGGCTGGGCACCAGAACTGCACGAAAAGAACTAAAAGATCCTTAATATGGTACCCTTTGTATTTAACGAGCCAGTGGAGCTAGAATTCTCATTGTTGGAATGTATGATGGAAGTATCAAAGGGTTTTTGGAAATTCGCACTATAAATGTAGGAAAAGTACTAAAATGTACTACATTTGGTACCGTTTCGTCCATATAACGGTACCTCCCAAATATTCAGTATTTTGAGGACTTTAGCGACATTATTCACCGGAGTTGATTCAAATTTCGTATTTAGAGCTCGAAATGTGAACTAGAGTTTATGACAGAAAATTGTCTGTGCAGATCCAGGTATCCCTTCGTATAGCCCCACTATATATCAATAACTCACTATATTAGGTATTTTGACGATTTCAGGTACAATATTCATCAAATTGTTTAAAATTATGTATTCGAAATTCCTAATACAGGGTGAGATAAAAAACTGCAACAAAGTCAATCGCTATATTTTAGAATAACTTTAGATTTGTTCGAATTGGTCACATTTGGCACGAATTATGGCCTTCAAACGGTCAATGAAACCGTCACATGCTGCTCGAATGTTGCTCTGCGGTATTTTGACCCATTCCCAGCAAGACGCTTGCTTGAGGTGACCGACACTTTGGTATTTTTTAGTGCCGACCTTGCTTTTCAAAATACTCCAGACACAATAGTCCAACGGGTTGTTATCCGGAGATTTTGGTGGCCATTGTGCGCTGAAAATGAAGCGAGGAACCTCATTTTGTAACCATTCTTAGGTGGCACGTGCTGAGTGCGATGGTTCTGACTCCTGTTGGAATATCCAAGGTCAAGGACTAAATAATTGCCTTAGGCTTTAATACACCCTCCAGAATATTTCGTGATAATATTCGGCATTTATTCCGATTAATACGAGCGGAGAGCGACCATCGGCTCTTATGGCGGGTCACACCGTCACCATGGCCGGCGCTTGAGTTCTGGTGGCCAACCGAAGGTGCACATTTTCAGCTGACCACTTTGGCAAGTAAACACGATAATTTTTTTTGTTTACAAACTGCTGGACAACAACTGTTCGGTAGTTCGCCACTTTCGGCCGAGCGAAGCAACTCTTTAGCTCTTTTGAGTCAATTTTCTTTCTGTTGTGGTGTAAGTTCTTAAACTTTTTGCAATTTCAATGGCTTTACCGAGCTTATTTTTCAATATTTGCCGAATAGAATATTGCGATATGTTCAGCTTATGAGCCATGTTTCGGCCACTGCGACGCGATCAAGTCGCTTCTTTACTTTTCCAACCATTTCTGCTGATGTTGTTGTTCTCTTCCGTCCACTTCCTTGACGTCGGGCTACGCTACCAGTATCACAGTAACGAGCGATAGTAAGAGGCACATATACATAGATCTACGATATCGTATATACCACAAATAACGGTACCTGCCGATATTCGGAATTTTGATTATTGTAGCCAAATTTTTCAATGGAATTGTCTGAAATGCCACACAGGGAATTCCTTCTAAATACTTTACCTACTGGAAGAGAATTGTCTATATATGTCCACGATATCCTAAAGCCCCTATACAACTGTATCCCCCGATATTCGGTATTTTGATGATGATCAAATTTCATATTCAAAGTTCGTAATTGGCACTACAGCCTATGTATAGCCCCATATAACGATATTTTTTGAGCGAAAGTTTTCAAGTTTCTTCAAAATGGTGGAGGATGGTAAAAGTTTGGCCCGGCCGAACTAAGCTGCTTTTTTAATTGTTTTTGCTACGAGAGTCGGTTTGCCCGACTTTTGACCTTTCTTAACTAGCTATTTTTATACCCTCAGCCATATGGCTACAGAGGGTATATATCATTTGTGCCTAGTCGAAATAACGGTTTTAGACCCTAGGTCTCTTTGGACCAAATCGATCTAGCGATGTCCGTCGTTCGTCCGTCTGTCTGTCTGGCTGGTGCGCACGATAACTCTCGAAGGGAGTATCCGAATGGTCCAAATTGGCTACAACGTAAAATTTTTGTCAAACTTAGATCGAGTTCGGAGATGGACAATATCGGTCTACTCCTTCTGGTACATCCCCCACAAAAGGTCGAAATTTTCAAAAAATATATTTTTTTTGCACAGAAAGAGAAAGGATAATCCGAATTTGCTCCCACTTTGCAAATCCTAATATTTGCGTCAGTGCTTGGTCGGGTGTGAAAATGGACAATATCGGTCCACTCCATCAAGTACCTCCCCACAAATGGTCAAAATTTTGAATAATTACAATCTCATTAAATGTGATGTAAAAGTCCGATTGTCTTCAAATTTCACACATCCTAATATTTGAATTAACCCATGGTCTGGTGTGAAGGGTAATACATCGGTCCACTCCTTCTGGTACCTCCCCCACAAAATATTGAAATCTTGAGTACCCATGAAGCTCATAAAACGCCAAATTAACATCCGATTCCATTTAGATTTGGCACATCTGTCGAAATATTTATATCATATTTTTGGGTCCGATAGGAAATGGGCAATATCGGCCCATTCCTGCGGAATCTGCTACATAGAGTGTCAAATGTTTGAATAATCTTAGCACTAGTCAAAATATATTTAAATAATCGAACAAAGGCTGAGGGTATATATCTTGCGGCAATACTGACTGATACTTTTTAACTTGTTTTTTTATCATTGGTTCAAAAATCATTGTTCCCTATCTCTCAAATTGTGACAGGATAATAAAATTTTGTGAGGAAGATTTTTCATAGCTACACCTCGAAGAATTTATCCCCTGATAAAATGATATTAGAGGGTCTTCAACAGGACACCAATAAAAAATAAGTTTTCAAACGTCTCTGAAGCTGCTTTTATTGAATTCTTTGCCTTTTTCAGAATTCATGACCTTGACAATGGATGTCATTGAGCACAAAGGCGGCACCGAATGTTCCGAAAAGTTAGAAAAAGGATTCCAGGATCTTCGCCGTATCCTTCTCAGCTCATCAGCCTCCAAAGAGCTGCTTTACAATCTTCAAATGTGTTCTGATTTCGATGTTGACAATGAATTGGATATTTCGGCTTTCTTTAATGGCTTAGGAAATTATTTCGCTGCCATGGCCCAGTTGTCAAGGTAAATATTGCAAATTTTTCTTACAACACCTAACGAAGAAATGTCCTTCCGCAGTAAATTTGTGACCCAGTTTTGTCAACAATTCATGGAAAACGATACAACACCCACGGATGCATTGGTGCAGCATATAAGAGATGTATTTTTACCGCACTCCGAAGACGAAACGAAAAGTCATGGCCATGGCCAGATATGGTGTCTAGATCTTTCCTATGAAGGCATGAAGTCGCTGTTTTCGTCCGAAGATGATGACATTTTTAATGGCAGTAAGATATGCAGTTGACTTAAATATTCAATTTTTAATTTAAAACTTTTGTTTTGTGAACAAATTTACACCCCCCCCCCCCCTCTCATCCACTTGCTTTAGATCGCTGTTGGTTTTATCAAACCTGCAATGAATTTGGTTGGTTTGCAACAACAACATCCACTGATGTTACAGCTCGCAATGTATTTGGTGGCCAAGTTGCCTTAAAGTTTTTCCGCAATTTATGCCAGGATGTATTTCAACGAACACCACTATCACCGAACATGCCAAGTGCTGGTGGCCTTACACTTCAAGAACTCTATTCCCGCGAACGAAGAACCAACCACATTTTCGGTGGTCTCACAAACATTTCACAGAATGTGATTTTCACCCATGGCCGTCTGGATCCTTGGCGTGCGGTGGGCATGCAACATGGCCGCAATGTCTTGCTCTTGGAAGGTGTGTGTGTGTGTGTGTGTGTGTGGAATAACTTTTCTATGTATATTTTTAATTAATATTTTTTTGTTGTTCCTTCTTGTTTTTGGTGTTGCTGTTACCAAAATGCATGCATGCAGGTTATGGCCACGTTGAGGATTTGGGTTCAATAAACCTCGAAGATTCCGTGGCGTTAAATGTGGCCAAGCTAAAAGTTTCGGCATTTATAAATAAAGCTCTCAGAGAAAGTTAATTGAAAACGGAAATTTTTATTTGCGCCTCGGAAAGGTTTGAAAAGAATAATGGTCTTCATTTTTATAGGAAGGAGAAATTAAAAAATAATAAACACGAAATGATAATCCGATGTGGGAAAATGGTAAAAAATACGGAAAAGAGAAGGGTTTACTCTACATAGAAGGGAAATATTGTTCTTGATAAGAATTGGTTCTTTTTTAGAGAAGGACTTATGAGTTATTCTTTGGATACAAAATTTTTAGGGGTGCTTCCATACGGGTTATTCCATAGAGAGAGAGAGAGAGAGAGAGAAAAAGAGAGAGAGAAGGAGAGTACCTTTTTAAAGACTTCTCTTGATAGAAAGTCTTTATGAAGCCTGCTACACATTGGTATTTTTAACAGCTCTTCTGGAAATACCAGACCTTTATTTGTCTTCTATAGAGTTCTTATGAGTTCTTCTATCGACAAAAATATTCAAAAATTATTCTAAGGATTGAGGACATCTGTGAGGATATTTAAAGAGATCGATACTTTAAATAGACCTTCTAGAGATAGAGGACCTTTAAGTTGTCTTCTATTGATAGTAGGCCCTTAGGATACAATACCCTCAAAGAATGGAAGAAGTTTAATGGAGAGGGGATCCTAAGGCGTTCTGTTTGCTAGATTTTCCAGCTAGATAAAGGCTCGTCAGAGACCTCCTATAAAATATAATTTTAAGGAGGCTTTTATTTTTTGGTTTTTTGGAAGGACTGCACGGAAATTTGAATTTAATCGAATTCTAGGATAATTTTTGGAAATGTAGTAACATTGATCCTTTAAAAAGCCTATTCTTGATTCATAACCGTTAACTGGGAATTTTACTCGTGGCGGAGGTGTTTAAAGCAAAGTATCCTGAATAGACGGAAGCAAGTTCTCCCTCTTCCTCAATTTTCGTATTTTACACACATTTTTAGGAGTTCTACTGATAATGTTCAATCTTAAAATCCTAGCCCTAGACTTTTCTTCCGGGCACTGTTGAGGCAATCAACGACATATATTTTTTATACTTATTATGAAAATACGGCTACAGAGGAGCGAAAGGACAATCCAACGTAAGTTCAGCCGGACCGAACCTTAAATACCCTTCACATGGACCTGCACATGCAACATTTGTCAAATACGAAACTTAAAACAAGTTAAACAAGTAAGCAAAGGCTACAGTCGAGCGGGGCCGACCGTTGAATACCCTACAACACTATAATAAACCATACAGTTTATATAGGCGAGATACTTGAATGAATTCCACAAGATATTGCGACAAATAATAAAAGAAAACCATCAGGTTTCGTTCTCTAATTTTCGAATAATAGCAACTTAAACTTATTTGCTCATTTCCAATTTATTGGTAGATGTTGCACTTAAATGGTCTTCCTAGATCTGGAACCAATATTTCCCAAAGACCTATAATCTCTCAGAAGTGGCAAAGGATTAACATTTATTATTGGTTTTTGACTGAAACGCAACGAAATCAGCGTTAACGAAATAGTCAGAAGTGGGTCTTTCTTGTATTTGTGAATTCTCCAAAAAGTCACCGGAATGGACATTTTCGTATTTTGTCTACAAAAGTTGGCAAACTATTTCATACATTGAATATTTTTGGATGGCCATCCAAAACTGCTTGGCTTTTGTAATGTCCGGTAACCCCCATTCAAATGTGCGTGAGGATCGGGCGATAATTACGACCTGCAGACAATTTTGCAGTTTTTTGGTCCATTTCAACCCCTAAATATATGGCGATCATCTCCAAAAAGAGTAGGCTTCTATTCTGACCCTCATCTTATCTCCATGCAAAATTTCGTAAGGATCGGGCCATAAATGCGATCTGTATATGATATCCTGATATCCTAACAACTTAGTTTTGTTAGCTGTAGAAATATTACCAAATGTTTAATTCAAAATGAAAATATGCCAAAAATATGACAAAATGGAAAAATATGAGAAAATTTTACAAAATCAATATTTTCATCTTTAGGGAGATATGTTTATGCGATTTTTTAGACTTTTCTTCTTTCCTGCCAAGAGGCCATTCTGAATTAATGAGAACTGTCGAAATCAGTTCAGCCGTTCTCGACATATAAGAGATTTTTCAAGCCTATCTTCTTTGATAAACATATATATCGCACATATTTTGCTATATATCCGTTTTGTTGGATGTTAACATCAATGTAAAGATCAGAAGTAACCTTGTCACGGCTTTGTGATTTCGCCGGGATTTAAAATATTCGCGGTTTAATGAAAAATTGTGAATTTTTTTAACACAAAAGATATGGTCTATTTTACCTGCTAAATATTATCCGATGACCACCCAAATTGGTAGGCTTCTTCCCCGCCCAAAACTCTAGCTACATGCGAAATTCCGCGTCGATTGGTCTATAATTGCGACCTGTATAGCTACTGCAAAATCCGACATTTTTTCAGTATTTGGTCCATTTCAACCCCTAAACATTGGCGATCATCTCCAAAAGAAATAGGGTTCTATTCTGACATTAACCCCACCTCCATTCTAAATTTCGTGAAGATCGGGCCATAATTGCGACCTGTAGAGTGATTACAAATTAACATGGACAGACGGACAGACGGACGGACGGACATACATAGCTAGATCGACTCAGTTCGGCGAGCTAGGAAGATCCATATATACTTTCCTATGTGGGAAACCAATATTTCGAGGTGTTACATAATTTTTGGGCCAATCAAACTTATAATACCCCCAACACATAGTGTTGTAGGGTATAAAAACAGTAAGTTCGGCCGGGCCGATCTTTGAATACCATTTGGAACGAATTTAGAAATTTTCATAAAATAAAATACTTAAAAAATTCTATTACAATTTTAAAAATACCGAAGATAGTAGTTATATTGGAGTGTATACGACGTGGACCTACATATGCATTGTTTGTCATAAGCCATTACAATATTCAAATTAGAAACTTGAATTAAACCGTCAATAATGTAGCTAAAATCATCAAAATATCGCTTATAGGGAGGTAGAAGACCTGAACCAACATAGACAAATTTCTGTTACAGGCTGTAGCATACATTACGAACTTCAAATACGACATCTCAAACAATTTCGGTGAGTATTGTACCTAAAAGCGTCAAAATACCGAATATAGGGAGGTACTGAGACATGGGGCCTATACGAAGACCTGGACCTGTATAGACAATTTTCTGTCACAGACTGAAGTTCCCATTACGAACTCTAAATACGTAATTTGAAACAATTCCGGTGAATAATGACACTAAAATCATCAAAATACCGAATACTGGAAGGTACCGTTGTATGGAGACAGACAATTTTCTGTCATAGGCTGTAGAATCCATTACGAACTTCAAATACCAAATTTGAAACAATTCCGGTTAATAATGTCGCTAAAATCATCAAAAATGTCGCTAAAATCATCGAATATAGGGAGGTACCGTTATATGGGGTACAGACAGACACGCAGATGGACATCGCTAAATCGACTTAGAATTTTACGCTGATCAAGAATATATATACTTTGTTGGGTCTGACATGATTATTTCGAGGAGTTACAAACGGAATGAGAAAGTTAATATACCCTCCATAGTATAGTGGAGGGTATAAAAATCCGGTAAATAATGGTCATAGGCTGTATTACCCATTAAGATCTTCAAATACGAAATTTGAAACAATTCCGGCTAATAATGTCGCTAAAATCTTCAAAATGTCGAATATAGGAAGGTACATTCATATGGGGGCTTGGATGTATGCTAGGTAGTTGTTTTCGAATCGGCTGCATTCTGGTTGTTGGTCGGACTGAGTTCCACGCCAAACGCGTAAGTGCAGAATTAAAGACTTATACCAGTTATCAACCTCTTGGGTGATATTCGCTCCGAACCATGAAGTGAATGAGAATTGTTTCCCAAAACAACATGTCGAAGCCACATTTATACACTACAAATACCGGTCATATCTCGACCGACCTCAAGTTAGAGATTGTGCAACCTCACTCGGACATCTTTCGATTCATTGAGATCATCCTGCGTTAAAAAAATAGGAATGGAAGGATAGAGGGTGATATATCGTAAAAAGAATTAGAAATAATGAAAAAAGCCTTGGAAAAGAGTTGTGTTTTAACTCTGGCGCCAGAGCCATTGAAGCTTTTTCGCGAATGTATAAATGGCCAAGGGATCCGTGTCTGAATGCACACTGAGATTCATATTCTCCCATAGCTCGTAGTCTTTCCCTTGAGAGAGCAGGACTGTGGCATAAAAGGCGTTCGGTCGTTTCACTCCCTTCCTCATTCTCCCGCAGCCTGCAGATTCGACTTTAGAGTTATCCGTAATTTCGACTTTCTTGATCGGATGTTGAAATAGCTTGTTAGTATCTCTACTGTTATTCATAAAGTTGATTTATCCATGCCTAACAGAGACTGAGTTCTACGCGAGGAGTTATCCGGCCAGATCTGATTTGATTCCTTTGGCCGTGGATCATTGTACCAGCATCTTTTGTCTTTTGAAATGACAAAGAGGGGGTTTTAACATGTCGGCGACTTCAAGGCCTGTAGGCTGCGAGCCTATCCTTGTCAATTCATTGGCTTTCTCATTTCCTTCAATATTACAAAGACCAGGTACTCACATCTCAGGACTGCATCAGAATAGATTTTGGACAATTCTATAGCTTTTAAAGCATTTAAATAGTGACCGGTTCAGTTTTTTTCATTTTCCATAGTGTAAATCAATTCTGCGGAGTATTCGATTTGGTCCAAACTTGGTACATCGTAATATTATTATGCATTTAGATCGAGTTTAGAGATGGACCATATTGATCCACTCCTTCTGATAACTCCCCAAAAAAAGGTTTGAACTTTCAAAAAAAAAAAAAAAAAATACTCTCGAACAGGACGAGAAAGGATAATCCGATGTTGCTCCAAATTTGCATTAGTGCTAGGGCAGTTGCGAAAATGGACAATATCGGTCTCCATCTCCATCAAGTATCTCACCCGCAAAGGGTCA